CGTTCGAAGATTTACTAAACGTCAAACGCGAGAACGCACGATAGCACAAATCGGTTTTGGCCTGTGCTATTTAAAGGCGACCGAGTATATATGATTATGACCACATGTCCATCCGAAAAATGAAATCACAATGTCAAATGCCAACCGGGTTCCCCCCCGAGCTTCTCTTGTAAAAAAACACTATGCGGTGACGGGCTTCGCGCGCGCGCATGTCGAAATCTGTCGAACGCCCTTGCGCGTGTGCCGTCGCGAGAATCCTTTGCAAAAAACGGGACGAAGTGCAGACGCGCGCGTCGTCGCGCGCGTATGCCAAAAACCTTCAAAACCCATCGGTTTCGGAAGGATTTCGAAATCGAACGTCCAAAAAACATACAAAAACACAAGGTTTCGCAACACGGATTTTCAACAAAAGCGTGCGCGCGCGCTCTTGCATCGTCGTCGTCGTCGTCGTCGCCGTCTTCCCTCCTCCCGCGTCGTCGTCGTCGTCGCCTACGTCGTCCTCTGTCTTTCCTCGTGTTCGTCGTCGTCGTCCTCTTTGGCGTCGTGGTCGTTTCCGTCGTCGTTGTCGCCGTGGTCGTCCTTCCTCCTCCTCCCTCGTCGTCGTCGTCGTCCGTCGTCGGCGTCTCGTCGTCGTCCCTCCTATTTCGTCGCCGTCGTCGTCGTCGTTTGTCGTCGTCGTCGTCTTCCTCCTCCCTCGTCGTTGTCGTCGTCGGCGTCGCCGTCCTTCCTCCTTCTTCGTCGTTCGCGTCGTCGCCGTCCTCCCTCCCCCCTCGTCGTTGTCGTCGTTGTCGTCGTTGTCGCCGTCGTCGTCCTCCCTCCTCCCTCGTCGTCGTCTTCGTTGGCGACGTCGTCGTCGTCTTCGTCGTCGTCGTCGGCGTCGGCGTCGTCGTCGTCGTCGACGTCGGCGTCGTCGTCGTCGCCGCCGTCGTCGACGACATCCAGCACCCAGCACTCATCGCAATCGCTGCAGCATGGGCTTTGCAAATCAAGTTGCGCGTGGGTGGGTGGGATGATTGCGCGAGCAGTGGAGTTGACAACTTCAAGTTCGGCAAGTGATTAATTATCCCTTTCTAAAAACGAAATAGGATCTACCCCCCCCCCCCGGCGTTATCGGCCCCGTTTTCGGATATGTAAATCATTCATGATTATGACCACATGTCCATCCGAAATATGAATTTGCACTAACCCAGGGGGCCGGTATCCCCCCCCTGAGGTTCCTTTGTAAAAAAACAATATGCGGTGACATGTTTTGTTCTAACATAACACTTGTTCGCGAATCCCTTGCAACAAATGGGACGAAGTGCGCACGCGCGCGTCGTCGCGCGCGCATGCCGAAATCCTTCAAAAACCTTCGGTGCCGGAAGGAATTCGCAATCGAGATTCCAAAATAACATACAAAAACAAAAGGTTTCGCAACATTGATTTGCTAAAAAGTTTCCGCGCGAGCTCTTGCGAAATCTTAAGAAAACCATAGGTTTTCCAAGATTTTCACGAAATGCTATTAAACGGGCTTCGCGCGCGCGCATGTCGAAATCTGTCGAACGCCCTTGCGCGTGTGCCGTCGCGAGAATCCTTTGCAAAAAACGGGACGAAGTGCAGACGCGCGCGTCGTCGCGCGCGTATGCCGAAAACCTTCAAAACCCATCGGTTTCGGAAGGATTTCAAAATCGCGTGTCCAAAAAAACATACAAAAACCCAAGGTTTCGCAACACGGATTTTCAACAAAAGCGTGCGCGCGCGCTCTTGCGTCGTCGTCGTCGTCGTCGTCCTCCCTCCTCCCGCGTCGTCGTCGTCGTCGCCTACGTCGTCCTCTGTCTTTCCTCGTGTTCGTCGTCGTCGTCCTCTTTGGCGTCGTGGTCGTTTCCGTCGTCGTTGTCGCCGTGGTCGTCCTTCCTCCTCCTCCCTCGTCGTCGTCGTCGTCCGTCGTCGGCGTCTCGTCGTCGTCCCTCCTATTTCGTCGCCGTCGTCGTCATCGTTGTCGTCGTCGTCGTCCTTCCCTCCTCCCTCGTCGTTGTCGTCGTCGGCGTCGCCGTCCTTCCTCCTTTTTCGTCGTTCGCGTCGTCGCCGTCCTCCCTCCTCCCTCGTCGTTGTCGTCGTTGTCGTCGTTGTCGCCGTCGTCGTCCTCCCTCTTCCCTCGTCGTCGTCTTCGTTGGCGACGTCATCGTCGTCGTCTTCGTCGTCGTCGTCGGCGTCGGCGTCGTCGTCGTCGTCGTCGACGTCGGCTTCGTCGTCGTCGCCGCCGTCGTCGACGACATCCAGCACCCAGCACTCATCGAAATCGCTGCAGCATGGGCTTTGAAAATCAAGTTGCGGGTGGGTGGGTGGGATGATTGCGCGAGCAGTGGAGTTGACAACTTCAAGTTCGGCAAATGATTAATTATCCCTTTCTAAAAACTAAATAGGATCTACCCCCCCCGGCGTTATCGGCCCCCTTTTCGGATATGTAAATCATTTATGATTATGACCACATGTCCATCCTAAAAATGAATTTGCATTGTCCCAGGGGGCCGGTATCCCCCCCTGAAGTTCCCTTATAAAAAAACAATATGCGGTGACATGTTTTGTTCTAACATAACACTTGTTCGCGAATCCCTTGCAACAAATGGGACGAAGTGCGCACGCGCGCGTCGTCGCGCGCGCATGCCGAAATCCTTCAAAACCTTCGGTGCCGGAAGGAATTCGCAATCGAGATTCCAAAATAACATACAAAAACAAAAGGTTTCGCAACACTGATTTGCTAAAACAAGTTTCCGCGCGAGCTCTTGCGAAATCTTATATATATATAAACAAAAAAAAAGAAAACAAAAAAAAAAAAAAGATTTTCACAAAATGCTATTAAACGGGCTTCGCGCGCGCGCATGTCGAAATCTATCGAACGCCCTTGCGCGTGTGCCGTCGCGAGAATACTGCACAAAAAAAAGGGACGAAGTGCAGACGCGCGCGTCGTCGCGCGCGTAGGCCGAAAACCTTCAAAACCCATCGGTTTCGGAAGGATTTCGAAATCGAACGTCCAAAAAAACATACAAAAACACAAGGTTTCGCAACACGGATTTTCAACAAAAGCGTGCGCGCGCGCTCCTGCGTCGTCATCGTCGTCGTCCTCCCTCCTCCCTCGTCGTCGTCGTCGTCGCCTACGTCGTCCTCTGTCTTTCCTCGTGTTCGTCGTCGTCGTCCTCTTTGGCGTCGTGGTCGTTTCCGTCGTCGTTGTCGCCGTGGTCGTCCTTCCTCCTCCTTCCTCGTCGTCGTCGTCGTCGTCCGTCGTCGGCGTCTCGTCGTCGTCCCTCCTATTTCGTCGCCGTCGTCGTCGTCGTCGTTGTCGTCGTCGTTTTCCCTCCTCCCTCGTCGTTGTCATCGTCGGCGTCGCCGTCCTTCCTCCTTCTTCGTCGTTTGCGTCCTCGCCGTCTTCCCTCCTCCCTCGTCGTTGTCGCCGTTGTCGTCGTTGTCGCCGTCGTCGTCCTCCCTCCTCCCTCGTCGTCGTCTTCGTTGGCGACGTCGTCGTCGTCGTCGTCTTCGTCGTCGTCGGCATCGGCGTCGTCGTCGTCGTCGGTGTCGTCGTTGTCGCCGCCGTCGTCGTCGTCGTCGGCGTCGTTGACGTCGTCGTCGTCGGTGTCGTCGTTGTCGTCGTCGGCGTCGGCGTCGTCGTCGTCGTTGTCATCGTCGTCGACGCCGTCGGCAGCGTCGTCGTCGTCGTCTGTGTCGTCGTCGTCGTTGTCGGCGTCGTCGAAGTCGTTGGAGACGTCGTCGGTGTCGTCGCAGTCGTTGTCGGCGGCGTCGTCGTCGTCGTTGTCGCTGTCGTCGTCGGCGTCGCTGTCGCTGCCAAGTGCCATTTGGTACCCACCGTCACGGTCTTAAGAGATTTTGCAAGCCAAGTTGCGGGTGGGTGGGTGGGATGTTTGCGCGAACAGTAAAGTGGACAACTCACTGCGAACAGAAATTAGTTGCACCGCATAGGTTGCACCGCATAGACAGCACGAACCTACTGTTTGGGGTCCACGCTGGCAAACACACACATACACATATATATATATATATATATACATGTATGTATATATATGTATGTAACGTCCCAATACGTGACCAGGATCTCAGCGCCCGCCCAGCCCCACCCAAGCACACGGAGAGGCGTAGGCCTGCAGGATCGACAAATGTTTTGCAACGACCAGATGCGGTATTCACCTTTGACGCTTCTCTCGCGGCTCAAGGCCGCCCAACTCGCTGAGTGGCACACTCCACTCATCGGAAGCTCGTGCTGCATACAAATTATGCCTGCGGAGATGGTGTAAACTCCCACCGCAGGCCGAGGTCTGGACGGGCACCCGAACTTGTTTCGGGCCATGCAAGACTGGTCACGACACCAGGGAGGGAAGCTTCGAGTCAGAAACTACTCGCCCTAGCCTCGGTCATGGAAGTATTTGGGGGGCCCAGAAACAGCTATGGAAAAGACACAAGCATGAGCTTCAGGCCGCATGGCTCAAAACCTTCGGGTTTTTGCTCATCGCGCCAAGGCCGGGCGCGAGTAGCAAAAACCCTAGGCTTTTGGTCGACTCTACTTTACAGGCTGCTCACACACATTAATATCCATTCTCGAGCTCATTAAATCATAATACGCGACCAAAATCTCAGTGCCCGCCCAGACCCACCCAAGCATGCGGAGAGGCGTAAGCCTGCAGGATCGACAACTGTTTTGCAACGACCAAATGCGGCATTCACCTTTGAAGTTTCCCTCGCGGCACAAGGCCGCCCAACTCGCTGAGTGGCCCATTCCACTCATCGGAAACTCGTGCTGCACGCAAATTCTGCCTGCGGTGATGGCGCAAACCGCGATGCCCACCTGCGATCTGCCTCGGGAACCTGAGATCACAACTGGAGCCGGCCGCGACGAACAGGCGCCCCCATGCACTGCAGCACGGCCAAAAGAAAAGCCATCCCACCATCACCGACTCCCGCTAGCGATCTTGGCCCACGACGCGCATTGGCGGGCCCGCTGCAGCCAGCGAAACCACGTCGGGGGCGCCACGCGGGCCTCGCCCTCGTCGTCAGTGAGAGGCGCGCGGAGCCAGTCCAGGTCGAGCGCGTCTGAGATCGCACCCCGGGCGCGCGCGGCGACGGGGGCCAGCTCGGAGCTCGCGTCGACGCCGAGCAGCTCCCACAACGGGTTGGCCCACGCAGCCGCGAGACCCATGCGCGCCCAGATGAAGCGCACCCCCACGTAGCCACTCGGGAACAGGGGCGCCTCGAACTCGAAGTAGTCAAAGAACGAGGCCGTCTTAAAACGGCACTCGCTCGCCGAGAAGCGCGGCGAGCGGGGCCCCGCGCGGCTCGCGGCCTTCCACAGCCACTGCGAGTACTCAGGCGGCAGCGGCCGCAGCGCGGTCGCCACCTCGCTCGCCTCGAACTCCTGCCGCGCGACTCCGCCGATGACCGGGAAGCGAGCGCCGGACGCGTTGACCGAGGTGTCTGCCAAATCCACTCCTGCCCAAGCCTCGCGCATCACGGACACGGTGCCCTCGGCGAAGGCCACGGCGACGTCCGAGACCAGCAGCGCGGCGTTCTTGGCGACCTGGGCGATCGCACCCGCGGCGTCGGCGAGGCCCCACAGACATGCTCACCGCGGCGCCCGCACTCCGCGCCAGCGAGGGCGCCAGCCAGGCCGGCAGCAAGGCGATCACGACCAGCAGCACCGCGCACTGGGGCACGAGGTCCCAGCCGCGCCCGCAGCACCATCTGCCGAAGGAGGTGCGAAGGCCGGCGCCGCAGCGGCTGGTAGGCTTCTTGGCCTTGCTGGCCTGAGCGGCCTGCGCCTTCTGAAGGGTCTGCCCGTGGAGTGCCTCGAGCTCTAGGCGGCGCACGAGGTCCTGCGCCACCTCGGGCGAGGGCAGCGACGGCAGGCCCAGGCCCCCGACGGGCCCCACAGGCGCGAGGAAAGGGGTCGACGCCAAAGACACCGGCGAGATCTTACTCCATGAGCTGCCCCCGGAGCGCACCGAAGGCGCGGGCGAGGAGACTCGGCTGTCGGGCGCTACCTTGGTCCACGCGCCGTTGATCATCTTGTAGCCCTTGGGCGCCATGGGGCGAAGTCGGGGCCCTGCACATCGCGTCGAATTAGATCGGCCAGTTGGCGCTCACCCAGCGCAGCTGGTCCGCCAAGCCGCGCTGCTGCAACTGCAGCAAGTCGGCGTTGGCACCCAGCACGTCCAGGTAGACGCGGAGGCTGCTGTCGCTCACCCACCTGCCGCCCACGCGGATCTCGGAGAAGCTGATCCCTGCGCGGGCTGCGCGGGCCCCAGCCCACAGAAACGCCCGAGGCCTGCTCGGCTTGCTCGAGCAGGGCGCGGCAGCGGGCGAGGGGGCACGGGACGAGGTGGTGGCCCGGAGGGGTGGCTGCTGCAACTCCTGCTAACACCCGAACTAGAACCTCATCCTTCTGAGTGAGCATAACTACCTGGGGGCGTTTCGACTTCGCACCCTTCTTCGTGCCCAGGGAGAAGGCAAGCGGCGATGGGGCAGCGCCGGCACCGCGCTGGCGAGGGAAAGAAAGGTGCCCGACCCAAATACCCAGCATTTCTGACGGGCGCATGCACTGCAGTATCAGGCCCAGCCCTAGCCGACCGTGGCCCCAGGAGGCAGGATGGCACGCCGGCAACTTCCCCGGCGCGCGCCCCAAGGGCACCGCGTGGCGCCTGGGCGCAGAAGACTCCCATCCTCGAAGAACAGCGTGAGTCCAGGCTAACTTGCCTCGAAAACGCTGGAAAAAAAAACCTCCACTGCAGCTACCACCTGGCCGAACTTCGCCGGCGTCAGGTGGACCACGATGTCGCACTTGAATTCAACCAGCAGGTCGTCCCACTGGCCAACCCCATGAGGGTCCAGTCCATGCAGCGCCGCCCAGTCGGTGAGCAACTCGCGGCGCGTCGGTAGTTGACAAGGGTCTGCGGCTGCACCTTGGCGGCGCGATGCTCGTCGAGCCGCCGCGGCCCAGCCGCGCGAGTTAGAAGCGACCACGAAGTCGCGATAGCCAGTCAGCAGCTTGGCGCTTGGCATCCACCCACGGTAACAGAAAGCCAATGCCAGTAGCCAAACAAAGGCCAGCACGTCGCCTGAGGAGCTGGTTTAGCGCAGGCGAAGCCCGACAAGGTCTCGCTATCTTCCAAATATGTGATGAGGGAACGATGTGAGCCTGGGCAGGCCGCCACGCGTGTCAGGACAGTCAGCGCTGCTCTGCCCCCCCCAAAGTGATGTGATCTGCTCGCTGCCAGCGGCTGGCCGCCAGCGCCGCCCAGGTGCCCGCGCCCGCCCCCAGCAGCCGGCGAGGGACCTTGGACACGGGGACGCGGCAGCCGACCCCGCGGCCCCGGCGGTTCAGGTGCGACGCGCGGCCGCCAGGCGGGCAACAGCGTGCCCAGGGCGGGCGCCAGCCAAGATGAGCTCCTCGGCCAGTTCCCGGTCCACTGAATTGCCGACGACCCCGAACCCGCCGAAGTCGACCGCGTCGACGCCCTCCGCGTCCGACGAGAGAACCAGCGGCGCCGCAGGCGCCCCGAGCTCCGAGCGCACGGCAAGGGCAAGCCACTGCATGGCGCGAGCCTCCCGGCGGGCCGACGGCCACCAGGGGGCCACTCGTCCCTCGTTGCGCCCCATGAACTGGAAGATGGCGCGGGGCACGGCGAGCAGCTCCCGCTTGAGCAGCGCGCCCCAGATCCACGCGCCAACGACCCCCCTGAACAGCTCGATGTCCACCCACGGCACCTCGAGGAGCCAGCCCAAACTGTCCTGCAGGAGGCTGGCCTTCACTGGCTCCACGGCCAGCACGGGCGGGTCGGCCTGTTAGGTGTATCCGACGACCTTGGACACCTCGCCGGCCGCGACCCGCGCGCCCTCCCAGGCGCCGGCCAGCCTTGACACGACCGCGTCGCAGGTCGGACTCGTCGAGCGCTGGCCGCGAGGGTGGGGCGATATGCACACGCCGTCGCCCACGTGCACGTAGCTGGCCACGTCCTTCTCGCGCAGCTTGACCCGGCCCCCCTTGGAGTAGAGCTCGTCGAGCACGCACAGCGCGCCGCCTAGGGGGCCGGCGACCGACGCGCTCCAGTTCGAGGTCCTCGAGCCCCGCGAAGCTGTTCTTCTCCGCCCCCTGGGCCCCGACCGCCCTCGCCCATGGCCACGAGAGCCCTGACAACGCACAGGGCGAGAAAACGACAGAAGCCTGGAGGGCGCGTTTGAAGCCGACGGGCAGCGAACGTTCCACCAGAGAGTCGCCCGCACGACTTGCCGCGTTCGCGACGCCCATCGCATCTTAGGGGGCCTTCAGCGATCCCAAGGAGGTTGGAGAGGAGACCCGTTGGTTTCTCGGCCACACCCTCAAACGTACACTGGTCTAATTCAACGACTGACACCCCCGCCCTATCGGCGAGCCCCCGGACTCCATCCAGGACCTAAATCGAAGGGTGGGGCTCGCATCCCAGGTCGGCCGGGCGCTCGACAAGGAAGGCGCCCCCCCACGCTAGAACAGCTTCGCAGAGCCCCAGAAAATTCAACAGCATCACGTTGGCCTCGGCCACTCTCGCCTGCTGCCCCGCCGTCAGACCTCCCAGGCCCAGCAGCTCGCGCCGCGTCCGCAGCGGCGGCGGCCCGCCCGGGCGGAAGCGCACGCGGCGCCAGGTCGCGCACGGCGGCCCGCCCAGCACGACGTCCAGGAGGCCCTCCTTGGCGAGGCCCAGCAGGAGGGAGACCGCGTGCGGGTCGCTGAAGCCCCACCTCCGATCGCACGCCAGGTCGACGCTGAACACGAAGACCCCCGCGCCGTGCTGGCCCCCGAGCTGCTCGACGCAATGCTGCACGTCCTTCTGCCGGCGCTGGCCCGCGAACACGCGCAGGACCACCATCGCCCTCGAGTCGAGCTGCTTCAGGGCCCCGACCTGGTCCGCGAACTCGGGCACGGACATGCCCGCGCCCACGGGCCCCTCGGCGCGCCGAGCCTCCTGGCGGCTGACCCACTCGACGTCGGCCACGCCCACCGCGTCGGCGAGCTCCTGGCGCGGCGCCTCCAGCTGCTGCAGCACCTTCGAGCTATCCACCAGGCAACGGCCCAGCGCCTGCATGTTGATGGCCATCATGATGCGCACCGAGTGCGACAAGCCCATCGGCAGGCCGGTGTAGCACGGGTAGATCAGCAGGTCGTCGGGCACACCCGCCAGCTCGCTCGGCTAGAGCGCCCTCAGCAGTCCCGCCGTCACTGGGGGCGCGCCCATCCAGGGCCACACCCACTCAAGCGTCACGATGGACGAGAACGCGTTGGACTCGCCACAGCGGGCGACGCTCAGACTCAGAGCGGAGCCGGGGGCCCAAAGCATGCTCAGGGCTCCACCGCCGCCCAAGCCGCGGCCCTCACACCCGCGCGCGTCGCGCCACGCGCAGTTGGCCAGGACAGCCATGATCAGCTTCCGCCGCTTGGTCGGGCCCTTCTTCCGCACCGCGCCCACGCCGTTGATCGCCTCGACCTGATCGCGCGCGCGGTAGACCCAGAGCCCCGGCGGCAGGTCCTCTCGATGAAAGTACCTGATCCACTCGGACTGCTCGCCGCCCAGAAAGCCGTAGTGCTGCTCCAGCTCGTGCTTCGGTACTTCTGATTTTCCTCACCAGTCAATCACATGTTCCTCATCTCGGTAGAAGGCGGCCTCATCCGCAGGCAGAGCGTGGAGCATGTCGACCGTCGTGTGAGCTACCACCTCGTCTACGCGGTCGGCCTCGAAGGGCGCATGCACGCCCGCTCTCTTGCAGCCTATGTACGAGACCTCGCGCAGCTTGAGGAGATCCCTCAGCGCCTGCGCGCCAGTCACCCTCTCGGGCCGGCGAACCTGGCCAGACTCCTGCGCGAGGCGGACCGCGCGCAGCTGTGCCAGGCCGGTGGCAGAGCCATCACCTCCTCTGTCTTCAACGCGGGCTCCGCCACATGCTGGTCGTCGCATATTACCAGACTAGGTTATGTTAATACATACCCTCAATGATCTGATTCGGCCACAGCACGAAGACGCGCGCCACCGACGTAGTCCTTCGTACGCTGCTCATATACATGGGCGGACAGATGGCGCAGCGCTAGTTCGAGCCGATCGTCGGTGATCAGCTTCTGGCACATCTCCAGGTCCGACGAGATGCCACCCACAGCGAAGTCGATGGTCGTCGCCACGGCCCACAGGTGCTGCCAAGACTCGGATGTATTCGAGCCCATGTGGTGCTCCTGTAGCCAGTGGCGGACCGAGGTCGTGCCAGCACCGCGGATGTTCCTGTAAATTTATCCAGCGGCGCGGCGGAAGTCGGGCGGGAGGCCATGCGCCCACGACTCCACGTTGCTAGACTGCGCCAGCCCGACAGCGTGTTCGCCCGCGCCGCCGCCAGCCGAGGTCGCCGCTGCCTCGATGCTCCGCAGCAGCTGCCGCAAGCTCTCGGCGTCGAGCGCCCCGACGGTTTCGGCTCCCACGTAGCCCCTTGCCTGCAGCGCCTCCTTCACTGGCGCCGCGAGGGCCCCCGCCGCGTCCAGCGCCACCACGCGCTGCGAGAAGCGAGCGCCCCACCACGGGTCCGCGGGCCGCGCGCCTGCCAAGGCGTCGAGCTCCGCGCGCACCCGCTGGGCACAGGCAGCGGCGAGCGGCCCCCGGCGGGCGGCGCCGCGGCCGCAGGCGGCGGCGCGGCGGCCGCGGGCGGCGGCACGCCCCCCAGCGCCCCCCACGTCTGGAACATGGGTCCGCCCACATCGGCCCCAGCTGCGAAGGCCGCGAGCGCTGCCATCCCGCCGTTTCCGACGGTCGCCGGCGGCGGCGTGGGTGGCGGGGCTCCAGGCGGCGGCTGCCACGGCGGCGGCACGGGAGGCAACCCAGTCGGCGGCGGCGCGGGCGAGGCCACCAGCGCCGCGTCCGCCGGGCCCTCGGGCTCGGTCACCTCCAGCGCCGCCAGCCGCGCGCGGAGCAGCTCGAGCTCCCCGTGGTCGGAGGCTGCCTGGCCGCTGCCCCGGCCGAAGCCCGCCCGCCACCAGGTGGCAGCGAGCGTGAGCAGCAGCAGCCCCAGCGCCTGGCCTGCCTTCACCACGGCGTCGCGGCCCTGATCGGCGCGCCACGCGGCGCGGGCCACCAAGGCGGTCGCCGCGAGCCCGGTCGCCAGCCAGCCCAGGGCCCACCAGCGGCTCGGCGCCGAAGCAGCCGACGGGGCCTCCGCGGTCGCTGCCAGGGACGTCGGGGGAGCCACCATCGCATCTCAGACTGAGGGAGGGCCGCAGGAGGCCCCAAACACCAATGTACAGTTTCAGGGAACCTGAGTCATGGGATTTTGACCAAGAAACAGCTATGAAAAAGACACAGGCATGAGGTTCAGGCTGCATGGCTCAAAACCTTTGGGTGTTTGCTCATCGCGCCAAGGCCGGGCGCGATTAGCAAAAACCCGAGGCTTTCTGTCGACTCGACTTTACAGGCTGCTCACACACATTAATATCCATTATCGAGTTCATCCATTCATATGTATGTATGTATGTGTGTATACATGCATGCATGCATGCATGCATGCATGCATGCATGTATGTATGTATGTATGTATGTATGTATGTATGTATGTATGTATGTATGTATGTATGTGTGTATGTGTGTATGTGTGTACGTGTGTATGTGTGTATGTGTGTATGTATGTATGTATGTATGTATGTATGTATGTATGTATGTATGTATGTATGTATGTATGTATGTATGTATGTATATGTGTATGTATGTATGTATGTATGTATGTATGTATGTATGTATGTATGTATATTTGTATGTATGAATGTATGAATACATGAAAGAATGAATGTATGTATGTATGTCTGTATGTATGTATGTAAATATATGTATGTGTGTATGTGTGCATGTGTCTGTATGTATGTATGTATGTATGTATGTATGTATGTATGCGTGTTTGTATGCATGCATGCATGCATGCATGTATGTATGTATGTATGTGTGTGTGTCTGTCTGTCTGTGTATGTATGTATGTATGTATGTATGTATGTATTGTTGGTTGGTTGGTTTGTTGGATGTATATATGGATGTATGGATGTATGGATGTATGTATGTATGTTTGTATGTGTGTATGTATGTATGTATGTGTATGTGTATGTGTATGTGTATGTGTATGTGTATGTGTATGTGTATGTGTATGTGTATGTGTATGTGTATGTGTATGTGTATGTGTATGTGTATGTGTATGTATGTAGGTGTGTACGTATGTAGCTATGTATGCATGTATGCATGGATGGATGGATGGATGCATGCATGTACGTATATATGTATGTATGTAAGTATGTATGTATGTATGTACGTATGTATGTATGTATGTATGTATGTATGTGTGTATGCATGTATGTATGTGAACACGTATATGTGTGTGCGTGTGTGTAGTGCGCAACCGCGCCCTGAGATACGAGTTGGAGTGTCCTCGAGTCCCTGAGAGCGCCTCGTCCCCAGTCCTGTGTGAATGAGGATAGAAGTGCCCAATGCCCCAAAATTCCCACATCTCCTGGGGCACGTCGCGTGTCCCCGCGTGTTCTCGCGCGATCGCCCGTGGCGCTTCCTGGGCGAAGAAGGCCCCGAAACGGGCCAAGAGGGTCCCAAGAGCGGCCCGAGAGAGGGCCCAGGAGAGGAAACACGGACCGACATGGCGAGCCCTCCTCCCGAAGACGACACCCGAGACAGCCAGCAGGCCCCCCGAGAAGCCCCAAACAAGCTCCAGGAGGCCCCCAAGAGGCCCAAATCGAGGACCCAAAAAGGCCCCCGAGAGGCACCAAACCCGCCTCCAGGGGGCTCCCGAGAGTCCTCCCGAGAGAACCCCGCAGGCATCCAAAAGGCATCTGATCTACGACATAGGCACGGTGGCGGAATGGGCCGAAGGCCATTGCATGTGCATGTCGGAAGTAAGAGGGTGAGACCGCAGTGAAACAGAGAGCCCCCCGTCGGACAAAGTGAGCGTTTTTTATTCAGCGTTTCGACACTGGGAGGAAGGGGGGGGGGGGTCTGGCTCCAGACCTCTGTTTTATGCGATTGGTTGGAACCGTGCGTCCTATGAGGGAGACCCCACCTGCTCGAAACAGGCGCCAAAAACGGCCAAGATCTACTCCACGGGGCGGGGGGGGAGGAGGGGGGTGCGAGGGCCCGCGCCGATCGGCAAAACGACGAATAAAAAACGATCACCAATCGGGTTCGGGTTCGTGGTCGTGTCGTGCGTGCCGGCGAGGCGAAACTGCGTGGGCGGGCGAATGGAATGAGCCCTCCTACGGCTTGGGCGCCGCCGGGCCAAAAGACCGCCAACCCCCGCCCCGGGTTGTGAGGCGGTGGCCGGGGGTGTCCCGCGGGTGCCCCCCGGGGGTGCCCCGTCGGTATCCCGTCGGCTTAACGTCGGCGTCCCGTCAGTGTCCCATCGGTGCCCCGTGGGTGTTCCGAGCGTGTCCCGTGGGGAGGTCGATAGTGAAATCGATAGTGAGGCCGTTAGTGCGATGGGTAGTGGAATTGTGAGTGAGTGAGATCGATAGTGAGATCAATAGTGAGATCCACAGTGAGTCATTAGTGAGAACATTAGTGAGATCGGTCGTGAGATCGGTTGCGAGATCGACAATGAATTCATACACGTTATGAGATCGGTCGTGAGATCGGTCGTGAGATCGGTTGTCAGAACCGTCGTGACATCGGTTGTATCTATACACGGGCATGCATACACACATGCATGCATGCATGCGCATAAATGCATGTACATACACGCGCACGTCTACATGCGTGCATGTATACATGCGGACTTCCGGTTGTGTGTAAGCCTGCATGTGCACACGCGCATTCACAGATGTAGAGCATGCACACCGACGTTCCCCCTCCCCGACAGCTCGCGTCTTGTGCTTGTCCCCTCGCATCCTCACTGCCCTCGGCGGGCCTCGGAACTGAAGCGCGCCCAGAAGCTCTGGCACAGAGGCGCAGCATTGAGGTGCTCGCGATTGTCGTAGTTGTCCTGTTGGGCCGAGAGAAGCAGCAGGAGGGGGAGGATTCGACGACGAGAAGACAGAGGAGGAGGACGAAGGGGACGACAAAGAGCAGACGGAGGGGAAGGAATATGAGGCGTAGGCAGAAGGGGAGGTAGGGGAGGAGGGTGGGAGAACGGGGGGAGGAGAGTAACGCCGACACTCGCGAGAAGGGACAAGCAGGAGAAGCAGTCGCGGCGAGAAAGGAACTTGAGTGAACACGCAGACCGGCAAAATGGTGTCATCCTCCTCCGCGGCGAGAAAGGAATTAGAATGAACACGTAGGCCGGACAAATGGTGTCATCCCCCTCCTCGCCATTTTCCTCCTCTTCCTCCTCCTCATCCACCTCCTCCTCGGCAGATCAGGGAGAACCGCGTGAAGTGCTTCGCGGGAGTCACGCGCGCCCTGACATGGTCGTCTGCACATTCATAGAAATCGCGGTGGGTACGCCGTGGGCAACCAGCGCCACTGCCCACACGGCCCAGGGCATTCTCTGGGCTGCCATCCCTCAGAACAGAACTCGGGGAAGATCGTTTGCGTACGTATGTGATTGTGGAGTACTGGAAGGAGGAGCCTGCCCAGCAAAAGCTTGAATCACCGAGCTTCACCTAAGAAATCGGCTACAGTACACCGACTGACCGATAGACCCGATAGAAGGCCCCAGTGGCAGGAGTCATATGCGTGACCGCCCCAATCTCGGCACACCCGTCACCCGTGGCCCCATAGAGAGCTCCACCGAAGGCCCCACTGGCAGGAATCCGACGGGAAGAATCAAGCAGACCGCAGATGGAAAACCACACACACACACACCTCACCCCTTGGAGCACTCCACCTGCGGTAGGGGCCCCCAGAAATGACCACCAGGACCCTAACAAAGGGGGACCGGAAACCAGAAGCCATTTCCGCCAGCCCTAACGCTCCGGAGGTGCCCCACGAGGTGTGGGGGGGGGCATGCCTTCTCCATACCGGCGGCGGCGCAGGCAGCCAAGCAGCGGCAGCATCAAGAGAATGCGCAAGCATCACCCGCAAGGCCAAAAGTTTGCTGGGCTTCTACGCGGGGGAAGCTATCGTGCAACGCTCTGCCCCTCCGTGGGGACGAGTCCCCGTGAGGACCGCGTCTTTAGCGGAGGCCCCCGGGGCTTCGAGACACATGGAAGCGTAGCGGCATGGATGAGCAGTCTTGATGCCCTTGCTTGTTTTCCCCATGGTACACACAAAAGAGCCTCGTTTGCGCACACGGGCCGCATTTTGCCCCGCACGCCTGTCATCATTAGAAGGTTGCCTCTGCAGTCGAGAAGACGCCTGCAGCTTTATGACTCGGAGCCGCATCGTCAAGAAGGGCAGCGCGGTGAACACATGCCTTCGAAGGCATCGATGCCTCGGTGTGGTCATCCTCTCCTAGCAACCCTCCGACGGCAAACCCACCGCGCCCAAGGTGCTTGACGTAGAAGTTCTAGTACAAGGCGCCCTGCTCAGTGCGCCCATGGGCGACTTTGAGTTCTACGCCCCAAAACTTTAACCACTGTGGATGCTCGTCGCGCGCACCCTCAGCTCGGAAACGGAGACCGTCGGTTCCCTTCGCCTCCACCCACGCACCTGTGATATTTAGCTCGTGGAAGTACATGTCTGCGCACTGCCCTCCAGATTGACGCGCCTCAGCCTTCACGCGAAGCATTGCATTGGAACGCCTTCCACGAGGAATATTAATCAGAACATGTTTTCCTGGTTTCATCAAGTCGAATCGCTGGCCAAGAACGTTCTGAAGGTGGGGGTCGCCAGTGGCAGCCACGCCTGCGCCGGCTCCACCCGCCATGGGAGCTCCAGGAGGAAACGTCGGATGTGGCGTCGGCCAGCCTGGAAGATACGTCGGGCTGGGGGTCGGGCTGGGCGTCGGGAACGGCGTCGGGAAGCCCGTTGGGAAGGGCGTCGGGAAAGCTGTCGGAAACGGCGTCGGGAACGCCGTCGGGAAGGGCGTCGGAAACGGCGTCGGGAATGACGTCGGGAAGGGCGTCGGGAACGGCGTCGGGTAGGGCGTCGGGAACGGCGTCGGGTAAGGCGTCGGGTAGGGCGTCGGGTAGGGAGTCGGGAACGGCGTCGGGTAGGGCGTCGGGTTCGGCGTCGGGTTCGGCGTCGGGTTCGGCGTCGGGTTCGGCGTCGGATTCGGCGTCGGATTCGGCGTCGGGTTCGGCGTCGGGTTCGGCGTCGGGTTCGGCGTCGGGTTCGGCGTCGGGTACGGCGTCGGGTACGGCGTCGGGTTCGGCGTCGGGTTCGGCGTCGGTTCGCGTGTCGGCGTCGGCGTACGGCGTCGGGTACGGCGTCGGGTACGGCGTCGGGGCGTTTTCGGCGTCGGCGGCGTCGGGTACGGCGTCGGGTTCGGCGTCGGGTTCGGCGTCGGGTTCGGCGTCGGGTTCGGCGTCGGGTTCGGCGTCGGGTTCGGCGTCGGGTTCGGCGTCGGGTTCGGCGTCGGGTTCGGCGTCGGGTTCGGCGTCGGGTACGGCGTCGGATACGGCGTCGGGTACGGCGTCGGGTACGGCGTCGGGTTCGGCGTCGGGTTCGGCGTCGCGGGGACGTTTTGCCTGCAGCAGCAGCAGCCGCACCATATATTTGTGTAGTATTACCTCGCGCACAACCGCTGCCGCAAGCCCAATAATATGAGCTACCGCCACAAGAATCCCACCACCCGCTACCACATGAGACCCTTTCCTGTTTTGTCGTGTTCGTCGTGTTGAAATTGTCGGGAGGGTCGTCCATTCCTGGCACACGCCTTCCACTCAGTAACGCGCGCCCTGACGTGGTCGTCTGCACATTCATAGAAATCCGCCGACCCCTTGGGGTCATCGGCGTGGGAGATGCTTCCCCCTCCCCAAACCCCTCCCCCCGGGGCCCGGTCCGGTCGTTTTGGAGGGGGGGGGTCCGACCGGCCCGGGCTGAACGCGTCACGGGCCTCACGACGGGGCATGAGTGCCCCAAGCGGCCCACAAGATGGTCCAAGAGGGCCCCGAGTCGCCGATGGATCGCTCGAAGAAACACAAGATGGCCCCCAGACGGCGCAAGAGGCCCCTGAGATGCCCCAAGAGGCCCCCAAGAGGCGTCCCAAGAGGGAAACGTATGATTTTAGCAGATTCGCCCCTTGGGCTTTCACAACGTCCAAGACGGCCCAAGAGGCCTCCAAGATCGCCCCAAGACGGCCCAGGAAGCCCCCAAGAAGGCTCCAACACGGCCCAAGAGGGCCCCAAGACGGCCCGAGAGGCCCCCAAGACGGCTCCAAGAGGGGGCCCAGGCGGGGTACCCGAACGGAAATTTCCAGCCCTCGGCCCCAAGAAGCCTCCAGCAGGCCCCAAGAGGCCCCCAAGAAGCCCCCAAGAGGCTCAAAAGGCCGACCAGAAGACCAAAAGAAGCCCTAAGAGGCCCCAAAACAGGCCCCCCAAAGGACTCAAGAGTGCTGCCAGGAGGCCCCCGAGAGACCGACCAGGAGCCCCCCAAGGGGTCCATCATCATCATCATCATCATCATCATCATCATCATCATCATCATCATCATCATCATCATCAGCAGCAGCAGCAGCAGCAGCAGCAGCATCATCACAACCACCACCATCATCATCATCATCATCATCAGCAGCAGCAGCAGCAGCAGCAGCCTCAGCTTCTTCTTCATCATCATCATCATCATCATCATCATCAACAACAACACAACCACCATCATCAGCATCATCAGCATCATCATCATCATCATCAGCTTCATCGTAAGCATTATCAGTATCACCAGCAGCATCATCGTCATCATCATCAGCAGCATCATCATCAGCATCAGCATCAGCATGATCCTCAGCATCATGATCATCATCATCATAATCATCATCAGCATCAGCATCAACATCATCATCAACGTCATGAGCATCATCGTCATCATCATCAGCATCATCAGCATCATAATTGTCATTGTCATTATCAGTATCATCTCATCCGCAGCATCATCATCAGCAGCATCATCATGATCGTCACCACCGCACCCACCCACCACCACCATTTACCATTAGCCACTCTCTGACCTCATCAGCGTCATCATCATGAATACCATCATCGTGGTCATCATCATTCATCATCGTCATCATCAGCAGCATCATCATCATCAGCATCAGCATCAGCATCAGCATCATCATCATCATCAGCAGCAGCATCATCATCATTATTATCATCGAGGCTTCAAGACTGCCTCCAATGGACTCCCCAAAGTTCCGCAAGAGACCCCAAGAAGCATCCAAGGGGCCTCTGACCCAGACCACAACCCAGGCACAGTGGCGGGATGTGCCGGAGGTCAGTAGACAGCTCTCAAAACCGCCTGCGGGGCCTCCAGGGGACCCCAATGCGTTCCCAGAGGCCCGTGAGGAGGAACGCCGAAATGAGGCCCCCGATGGACATTAGCAGGACAAGCATCAGCAGAAGGGGAATGAGAAGGACGAGGGACAGGAACAGGAGCCACGACGAGATGCCTCGCAGCGCAAGACTTGGATGTTCGGCGACGTCCGAGCAGATCCGCGCGCCCGGCCGTCCTGCTCGCTCCTCTTCCCAGTCCTCTTTGGCAATTCCCTCCTCCACTTTTTCCATCTCCATATTACGTTCCCCTCCGCCTCTCTCCCGTACATGGACATCATATTCGAACCCTGTGGCCCAAGATGCCCCGCGGACCCCCTGAAATTAGTATTGATGGCGTGGCGACGGGGGGGGGCGTGAGTGGACAGAAAGATTCGAACCCCAAAGCACCGCCTTTACTGAGATCAACATTGATGTCGGGTGCGCGGGGGTTACTTAGAATCTCCCTCGAATGTCTAAGGGTTCGAATAGATTGTCCATTTACTGTCCCCCCACCCATCCCCCCACCCATCCCCCCACCCGTCCTCCCATTGCTCCCCCCTTGTCTGCCTCGCGCCGACGCCCGACTTCTTCGATCACAATCGAAAACTTTTCGCCGCGAAAGCCGAAACCAGTTTACAGGGATATATGTCCGAAGGGTCATGAATGCACGCGGATGCGACGAAATACGTGGTGTTCTCCCGTGCGTAACCCCCGCTTCCTTCGTAAATCCATTGTTTGTTATGTTCCTTGCCCGAACACTTGCGGCTACTTCCGCGCATACGGGGACACATGAGCTCGTCGCAGGTAAATTCGTGAAAAAAATTGTGTTTGGGAGCAACTCAAACATGACGCACGGGATTTCCCTACGGTTTGGGCTTGAATCGGCTCGCCCCAGAGCGTGGCTGTTCCTCCTCCGTCTCCTTCTCCTTTTCCTTTGCCTCCTCCTCCTCCTCCAGCTCTTCCACCACCCTGCTCTTCCCTCCTGTCGATTACCGCCATAGTCATCGTCCATGGCCGCCCTCTTGCCGCGACAGCGCTAGCGACTTTGGCAACCCAGGCAAGACTGGCCCGACGACCCAAGGCCAGGGGATCTCTAAGCCCGGGGCTGCGAGGATGCCTCAGCTCAGACGGAATTGGCTGGGCCACCTCGTGCGGACGTCTCTGAGCCCAAAGATGGGAGGGTGTCTCAGGCAAGACTGGCCGGACCACCTCAGGTCAGGGGAGCTCTGAACCTGGAGTTGCGAGGATGTCTCAGGCGGAATTGGCTGGGCCACCTCGTGCGGGGCATCTCTGAGCCGAAAGATGGGAGGATGTCTCAGGCAAAACTGGCCCGACCACCTCAGGTCAGGGGATCTCTGAATCTGGAGTTGCGAGGATGTCTCAGGCGAAACTGAACGGACCACTTCGCGCGCGGCGTCTCTGAGCCCCAAGATGGGGGGATGGCTCAGGCAAGAATGGCCAGAGCTCCTCAGGTCGGGGAATCTCTGAACCCAGACTCGCGAGGAAGTCTCAGGTCAAATTGGCTAGACCACCTCGCGCGGGGAATCTCTGAGCCAGAAGATGGAAGGATGTCTCAGGCCAGACTGGCCCGACCACCTCAGGTCACAAGATCTAAACGATTAGACTGTCGATAAACCGATCAGAGGCCGATCAGCCGACGAGCAATCCGGCAGCCGATCAGACAAACAGCCGATCAGCGGTCCGGCAGCCGAACAACCGATCAGCCGTTCGACCAGCCGATCAGCCGATCAGCGGTCGACCAGCAGATCAGCCGATCAGCCGATCAGCCGATCGGCTGATCGGCCGGACCGCATCATCCCTTCGTGAGGGTCCGTCGTCGTCGTCGACGTCGTCGCCCTCGTCGTCGGTGTCGTCGTCGTCGTCGTCGTCGTCGTCGTCGTCGTCGTCGTCGTCGTCGTCGTCGTCGTCGTCGTCGGCGTCGGCGTCGGCGTCGGCGTCGGCGTCGGCGTCGGCGTCGGCGTCGGCGTCGGCGTGGGCGTCGGCGGCGTTCAGCGTGCGGTCGCAACGCGGGCCTCCGTCATGCCCGCGAGGACCGAGGTGGCCAGCAGCTGGCAGCGGCCCGCGCGCCAGCCTCGGAGGCAGGCGTGGGGGGGGGGGGCTGGGAGGCAGCCCCGCGCGCCGAGGGAGCAGCCCCTGACTCCTCCTCCTCCTCCTCCTCCTCCTCCTCCTCCTCCTCCTCCTCCTCCTCCTCCTCCTCCTCCTCCTCCTCCTCCTCCTCCTCCTCCTCCTCCCCGAACATCCGAGTGACGCGATGTGTGTTTCTTCGACTGCCTCCTGCTGCCGCTGTCCGCTTGCCTCGCACTGGTGGGTACCATAATGCTGTGCCCGCCATCCTGCTGCCACTGGCCTCCGGCCACTTTCTCCCAAGAAGAAGCCTCTAGATCCTCCTTCATGACTTCTACATCCTCATTCGCGTGCTCTAGACATTCCTACTTGTCATCCAGATCTCCCTCCTCTCTCCGATGTCATTCTCCATCTCCGTCCGAGCCCCGTCTGCACACCCCAACAAAAACTCCCAACCGAAACTACGTCGATGTCACACATTGTTTGAAAAGTCTGGATAGGATCACAGTCTTGCGGCCAGACCATGAGGGTATCGATTATGTTCGGTGTATACGTGGGCGCGCCAGCTCGCAACGTTGAATCAACATCATGTGTATCTGCATGCTAGGCGCCAGCTGTCTGCTTGGGGGGCTTCAGGAGTAGCCCGCAGTGGAGCTTCATGGCTAGCTCTGTCCAACACCGTAGCCTTATGCACTTTCCTCTTCTAGCCGCGCATGCTGCACAACAAACTGCCTTGTCTAGCGGTCCCGACTCTCGTTGGGGTGCCGATTTGT